TTCTACCTATTCTAGCAGCTTCCCATTTTGAACTCAGAGTATCATATTTTTTATTAGTGTTGTTAACCTAAATGTGCTCTTTTATGAAGAGTTAATAAATGATTAAAGAAGGGTATTCTATGTAAGAAACTTAAATAAACTTGTTGTATTGTGTTGAATATCAGTTTCTTTAGCCTAACTGTAAATCTCTTCGAGTTAGCGACTTGTGAGCTCCACTCGCCACTGCAATCCTCAACTAAATAAATTTGGTGTAATCGGCAGTACAGTCAAAGCTCAAACAACTAGCCGTAAGGGCGCTGTCCATTGCACGACAATTTAAGTTGCATATACTTAAATGACACTCTAGCTGAAACCTAGACTTAATATCTGTTACAAGAACATCCTTTGCAATGATTGGATATGTATGTAACTGTATTCGTTTTATCCACATCACCTGATACTTAAGCCATAATTATTAGTTGATTTATAAACTGGCTGACCATATTTTCAGTTTTCATTTTTAAAATCTGTTGACCTAAAAATTAAGTGTTCAAAAAATAAAAGGAATAAATAAATTTTAAGGCAAAATCTTACATTTCACAGCAGTCTGTTTTATTATAAATGTCAGAATTTTGGTACAATTCTGAAAAAGTATTGACCTTGAGATATATTTGGAATATTATAGATCTGTTAACAAACATCATTCAATACAAGTATGATAAAAAAGAAAACTGATATCGTTAATAAATAGTTATTCTTGTATCTTTAATTAATACAGACAAAATATGGATGCATAAAATAAACACTATCTTTAAAATTACTGGAAAGGAACTAAGCATACAATGGAAAATTTTCCGCTCATATGGAAAAATATGATACTCTGAGTTCAAAATGGGAAGCTGCTAGAATAGGTAGAAGAAGATTTTAGGGACTAGGGAAGTACAGTCCGAAGTGGAGTAAAATTACTGGAAAGGAACTAAGCATACAATGGAAAATTTTCCACTCATATGGACCTATAGCTCATACATAACATCTAAACAGTGGTTGAATTATACAATGGCATGAGTTTATGTTGGGATGGGACATAGGTGCTCAAAGGGGTAAACAGTGGTTGAATTATACAATAGCAAGTTTACGTTGGGATGGGACATAGGTGCTCAAAGGGGTAAACAATGGTTGAATTATACAATGGCATGAGTTCATGTTGGGATGGGACATAGGTGCTCAAAGGGGTAAATAGTGGTTGAATTACAATGGCATGAGTTTATGTTGGGATGGGACATAGTTGTTCAGATAGGGGGGGGTGAACAGTGATGGAATTATAAGGTGACATCAGTCTGTGTTGGGACAGGATAATGTTGATTGTTCTTGTACATAATGCACAGATTAGCAGCTAATGTCATGTTTTTGCTTTATTTAGTTTTGGTGCACTGCATAGGACAGAAGTAAAGTGTAGTTGCATGTTGTAGATGTTTTCTTTGTTTTTCCAACATCTTTTGATTTGAACACTATGTTTAAACCTCTTCCAACTGGAACATATCTCCTGGTTAAGAAAGTATTATCAGCAATTTTCCTTACAAAACAATGGGAATAGGTCCCTTAAAGGATGTTGATGGTAAAGGTATTGTTGAAGAGTAGGAGATGTCTAAGCTTTTAAATTTTCTATTGTTTTTATAAGAGAGAATATTGTCTATATACCTAACACTGAGCATTCTATGGGAAATATTGGAATTGTCTTGAATCCTGCAGATTTCTTGGTGGTAAATAGGAAGATTAAAAGACTTGCAGACCTTTAAATTTGAATTAATCATGGTTAATTATATATTCTATTATGGGTTGTTGTTTTTTCTTACATGTGACCTACATATCTATAGGCAATGAACCCTAACCTGGTCCTTACTCTGAGGTTACAAGTTCAAGTATTATTACATCAGCTTTAATAGGTATTGATTGCAAGTTGTCATACATGAGTTTAGTTGTTGAGTATCTTGATCTTTCACTAGTAATTTCTTATTTTTAGCTGCAGCTCATAGAATGGCTGAGTTTTTTTTTTCAAGTACAAACTTTTGGCTCATAGCTCCATCTCTTGATCAATTTCAGATCTAATTACAGCTGTGGCTATTGAAGATTCCCACTTATTTATTATGATGTGTTTATTTTTTACTGTTTGTATGTTGTTACAATTATAAGTTTCTCATACTTATAGTTTTTCTTTTCCCCATTTTAGATGAACTGGTTCATCAGAAGGAAAGATACAAGGCCATCTCGCATGAACTGGACCAGACTTTTACAGAGCTTACTGGCTACTGAACATCCTTCTTGCTTTACTGCCTTTGTATCTATATACATATATATATATATAATTATAATTTTTTTTTTAAATATTAATTTTACACGTCACTGTATAAAGATTGAATGAATCATGTAAGTGAATTGCTTTAGATTCACACTAATCTATTGTCTAATCGTGGTTTTGATTTTAGGTAAAAATCTGTGAAATGAAGTTGCAGGATTAAGTAAGATATTGAAAGAATAATAATGACAAGATATCTGTCAATATCATTGTCAAATAAATCTGCAAACTTTGGATATGCAAAGTTCTATAGTTGCTTTTTATTTCTAAGAAGAATAAATTTGTTTGTATTTTTTTTTGTTTGCAAAAACATCCTTTGTCACTGGTTTCTTAGTTTTAAATATAGATTAATGATTGTTCTTAGAAGGGTAAGTAAAATAATAACATTTGAACAAATGAGCAACTTTTAATGTATTTTTAATTCTCCTTAAGTGTAAGGACTAGAAAAAGAAAAGTTAAAAGGATGATTTTTACCAATAAAGTTTACCAGTAACGTATGAAAAACTACTGAATTGTTTATAGTGTGTGTTTAAACTGCTTGTTCTAAGAGAAGTACAGTAAGTGTTTTGAACATACTGTGAAAAATTGTTTGTTTGAGGTTAATTTAATAAAATCAGAACTGTCTAAACTTCTACTTTAAAGTATGTGTGTGTCTGTACACATACATTCATCTTTATTACGTTTATACCCGAGTAATGATGAAAGTTAAATCGTGTTCAAAGAGAAACGTAGGATAGGTTTTTGTCTAGATTTATACAGATTCCTTCAAAATGGGTGCAAGTTTGTATTTATTAAACCAAATTTCAGTGAACTCGTTGATACCATAAAAGTAACAAAATTTTTCTATTTTGATTTGAGAACTTTCCAAAATTTAAAAGGTACACAAAGCCAGTAAGTTTTAATATTTTTTTTGGGGTCTATCATCCAAGGCAACATCCTTCACATTAACATAAGGAGAATTTCGGAACTTATTATTTATTCTCAGTCTGATTATTCATTCTTTTAACCATTTTAATAGTTTTGCCTTTTATATTTTCTATTTATTTATTTATTTGTCATTTGGGGAAGGGGAGGAGACATCTTGATAAAGCTTTCCACCATGCTACATAAAATTTAACTTCCTTCCCTGCTATTACACACACACACACTTGTAAGCTTTGATAAATGTTAATTTCGTAAACGTTGATGTTATTCAATGTTTCACTAGATGTTTATCACCTAATTTCAGGTGCACACCTAGACAAAGGAATACCAAAGTAGTTTCTGTCATCTCACTTGAATACTAGTGGAAGAAAACTTGGGTTTTTCTTATGAATAATGTGTTTTATTGCAAAAATAAGTTTACATTTTTCATGTTGATATGCAATAAATAAAATATTAGTGAAAATTAAGTTGTAGTATTTGATTTTGAAACAACGAAAAGAAAGTATTCTTCGTCTGTAAAAAAATCATTCTCTTACAACACGTATCTTTTAAAAAAAATAACATCTTACTAAACTACTACAGGTTCCATGTCTGTATATGGAAGTGGATAGATGGGAACACTATTCTTTTTTAAAGTTATGTACAAGATTAAAAGCACATGTTCAGTTTAATCAAGATGTCAAGTAACAACTTTATCTCCCACATGAATTAAAATTGTTGAAACTCGAGATATAAAATATTTTACACTTTCTGTTGTCTTGGATGAAGTAAGTTTTACACTTCATTGTTTAAGATGACAGCATAAGTTGACGAAAGGAAGATGGATTGTGTGTATATATATACACACACGTACACTTGAAGATGTTTAAATATTAAATCAGTTAAATCACTAGTTTCACCTAACGTGGAAGTATAATATATAAACTGGTATGGTGCAGTACAATGCTTTCTTGGTTTAGACATTGTGATGTAGTAGTATGCAGTTTGTGAAAAATCTTTAAAAGTAATATACTATATAACCATGCTTCACTGTGGTTTTAGTTGTGAGGAGAGTACTCCTGAATATACTGTACAGTTAAAATGATGAACCTACTGTAGGAAAAACAAGCATATTTGGTCACCCTATCTCAAAAGTAGAGCACCCACATCTCACCGAAGGATGGATTGCAGAAATAAGTTCTCTAATGATTATACTGTTCCCACAACTGTGATTCTCCCAACTGTATATACCACATGGACTAATACAGTTACCACAACTGTGATTCTCCCAACTGTATATACCACATGGACTAATACAGTTACCACAACTGTGATTCTCACAGCTGTATATACCATATGGACCAAGACAGTTACCACAACTGTGATTCTCACAGCTGTATATACCACATGGACCAAGACAGTTACCACAACTGTGATTCTCACAGCTGTATATACCACATGGACCAAGACAGTTACCACAACTGTGATTCTCACAGCTGTATATACCACGTAGACCAAGACAGTTACCACAACTGTGATTCTCCCAACTGTATATACCACATGGACCAATACAGTTACCACAACTGCGATTCTCACAACTGTATATACCACATGGACCTATTATCTGTCGTAGATAACACTATGGGGTAATCTTCCATAGGAAGACTGGAATTATCAGTTATTAGTGTACTTAAATAAAATGTTTTGAGCTACCTCCAACAGAAGAGTGCGGAGGATCTCTAGTAGGAACGTGGAGAACTTCCCATATTTAACCTGCCAAGAAATGCTCCACCAGACAGTAGGTTCTTTGGCATGTAGGCACTTTCATCAACCTAAAATGAATTAAACACATTACACAGAGAGATTATTAGTAATAATTTCTGAGTGAAAGTAAATATGATTATATAATCCGTTATATTCAGTGTTGAGGCTCTTTGCTCAATAGCAGCACTCTGTAGCCAAGCTGGGATATGGTAGTGGTTGAGACATTAGATGTATCGGTAAATTGCTTCACAGAAACTATTACTTAACCAGCTTAGAATTCATATTGAAAATAATTTACAAAAAAAAAAGATCTAAAAATCCATCTTCCACAGCAAAGATATATCGGTAACAGTGGGATTCAGTAATCGAAAATATTTTGTTTTTAAAATTTTGCACTAAGCTGCTCAAGGACTACCTGCACTAACCCTAATTTACATGAAAGGTAGCTGGTCAACACCACCTGCTGCCAATTCTTGGGCTAATCTTTTACCGATGAAAAGTGAGATTGACCATCACATATATTGCCCACACAACTGAAAGGGGAAGCATGTTTGAAATTGTGAGTGGAACACCCTAACCACCAACATTTAGTGTGGAACACAAAAATGCAGAGACCCTAAGGAACAAATTTTCATTATATGTAGTATTTTGTAATTATTTAACTAGACATCTAAGCCTTAAGAAAGTGCAGGAATTATTACTCATTTATCTATTGATCAATTAAAAACATGTCTGAAAAGAAGGGACCATTAAAGCAACAGCACAAACCACCTTACTTCTTAAACTGTAATCTTAGCGTTTATTTAACAGGTAAAGAAAGTTTTGGTTTGGGAGTTTCAGCTAGATAATAACTTCAACTTGTTTAGCTGATACTATTAATGCACGAGTACCAGCTGAACAAACACTAAAAGATGTAGCATGGTTTCTTTTTATGTAATATGAAATAAACATCACTTTAGTGTACTTCCTATTTTAGCTAATAATTTTAACCTTAGTTAACAGATTTTACAATGTCTTTATCCCAAGTATTAGCTGAATTCTAACAATTCCATAGAAACTACTTAATAATGGATTAAACACACAATTGAGTTGACACTGCTACATGTCATAGCAAAAATTATATAGATGATTAGGTGCTCCATACTGCAGTAAGTGGTTTTGGAAGTACAGTAACATTTAATTCTTTAATTTGAAAATGTTTTGTTAGATAAATTGACTTGTTAGCAAGAGGTTTATGGATGCTAGGAACATCTTTTATTTAACTGAAAACCCTAAACATTATATAAAAAAAGTTAATGGGTTTAGCTTAGCTACTTTTAGGATAATTCATACATTTTTTTAAATTTGTATGTAATGGCCAAGATAGGGTGGTTTATTCTTGCTGAACACACACATATTAGGTTAAACGTCCTGAAACTTTGTTGTTTTTTAACCAGACCCATGGCATTAACACAAAACTAGTAAAGTTCCGTCTGATATAATCAAAACTCTCATTTCCAAATATCAAACTAGGTATACTACTTCTGATTCATTTAACATACACAAATAAATAAAGTTTCATATTAAAATATATTACTAATGTATTTTCATTAGTGAATTTTATTTGATACTGTTTAGAAACAGCTTTTCAAAAGGTATGGTTTGACTCCATTATCATAAACTGAACTTTTGCATACTATGTAGATGCTTTAACACATACAAGTTTCCCCCACTGGTTATGCCTCAAACAGTTAGTGTGGGATTTACATTCCATATACAGTATTTCTGTTGGCAATAAAGAAATTTTTAATACCATTAAAGCCAAAATGCATTTTTGCAAAAATTTCCACCACAAAAACAAGACATTAAAATTCTTAATCAGATTACAAGACTAAACATTTCCTACATTTTTTCTAACATCCTTTACAGATACACTGGTATTACTGCATGACCCGTTATAATTTTTTCTGTTGTAGAATGAAAAGTTCCCCTTGTCACATATTGAAAATGCTATATTAATTCTGTATAAGTTAAATTATTTAACTTTCATCATTCTTGGAATTCTGGTGGTTGCTCTAATATTTCATCTTCGTCGTCTTCTAACACTTCAACCTGTTAGAACAGGAAAACGTGGTTAAATAATATTTCAATTCTTGATTAAATCTAACAGAATAAATACAACATTCAAGCTGAAACATATCAATTTTAGTATAAAAAAAAACAAATAAACATTGAAAGTCACATAAAATGAGGAGATAAAACTAAAAGGTACAACTAACAACTTCAGAAGTCCACATTAAATTGTACTAGCTTTAAACGTGACTGAAGCAATTGGATATTTTTGAGGGAATTTTACCATTGCTTCAATATTTTTAGCATTTTAAAGAGTTTAAGAAAGAAGTTATAATGATTTTCTGAGTGAACATATACAAGAAGAAATTGTGTAAGTAAAAGATGCCTGTATTAAGATCAAGAGCTAGAAAAGTACAGCTAGCTGGTTAAGTGGTATTGAGAATTAGGAGTTAAGAGTTATAAAAAATGAAGCTACAACAGAGACGTTGAGAAAAACGTTAGCCATAAGTTTGATGGTGATAGGTTACAGAAGCCAAGTTAGTAGTACAGTAAAAGGCTACTAAAAAAGTTTATGACAACATCTCAAATCGGCACTTTGATGCGAGATCTATTACTCCAGACCAGGGTAATATTACAAGTAAAAAGGCAACCAGAGCATTCACCATCACAGTAACCAATTACTTGAGAGCTTTGATTCTTGTCTTGTATTAGCCCGGAGAGTTGTACAGATTGACCAATAAAGTGTTAGAACTACTTGGGGATAGTTAGGAATACTATTTAGAAGGTAGAAAAATACAAAGAAAATATATTTTAAAAACTCGTGTCTGGAGCTAAAAATCAGAGGAAGAATTGAGATTTTCCCCAGAGTTACTGATAATCCAGAAGCTATGAAAGTTTCCCAGATCAACTATGTTGTAAGTAATGAAACTATTTCTCTCTTAGTCAATTAATGTGAATTGGATAGATTATAAAGAAGCATATAAAACCTAAAAAACTTCCCCTTTGAGCACCTATGTCCCATCCCAACATAAACTCATGCCATTGTATAATTCAACCACTGTTTACCCCTTTGAGCACCTATGTCCCATCCTAACATAAACTCATGCCATTGTATAATTCAACCACTGTTTACCCCTTTGAGCACCTATGTCCCATCCCAACATAAACTCATGCCATTGTGTAATTCAACCACTGTTTACCCCCTTTGAGCACCTACGTACCATCCCAACATAAACTCATGCCATTGTGTAATTCAACCACTGTTTACCCCCTTTGAGCACCTACGTACCATCCCAACATAAACTCATGCCATTGTGTAATTC